ACTAGTTCTCGCACATTATCTTACAGCTGTTGTCTTTAAAAAAAAACAACAGAAATATCTAGCAATATAACTGTTGAGTTACTGAATTTCTATTAAGTCTATGAAACATGCAGTTAAAAAGACAGTTTCATGTTACAAGTGAAATGCAGTATAGAACTTCACAACAAGATAAACAAAATATTTAAAGATTGTTAAATCTGTTATTAGAAATTTTAAAAAATTGTATACTTTTTTGAAAGCAAATAAATAAAAGAAAAATATCTTATGAATAAAACAAAATCGCTTTAAAAGATTATATATATATATATACACATACATACATACATACTTGCTGCATATTATTAGTTTGTTTAATGAAATATCAGATTTTAAGCCATGCTTAATATTTTAATGTTCTCTTTCATGCCTAAAACAATACTTCTTAATACACCTTGTGCAAGCTAAAAAAAATGATTTAATACGAAATTAATAAACAGAAATAAAACCTTACAGCCATATTTAAATTTTAAAATGAACACAATACAAGTCATAATTTAACAATATAACAAACAGTGCAAGCACAACTGTTTGTTTTTTATTATAAAGGGAAGTCACTCCAAAGCAAAACATCAAAGTAAATACCTCCAAACAATCTCTTGACCCAAATATAAAAACACAAGCACAGAACAGACACCATTTTTCCGTGACAAAATATTTATACTCACCATCTTCTAGAACTCCCCCCTCCCCTCTACAAGACAGACAAAAAAAATTCTGAAGCTGGCTAAATAGATTAGAGAACTATTGATTTTTGTGCCACACCGGCAATATTCCCTCCCCTTGTGTAGGAATTGAATTTACTTGATGGTGTTTCATGTTTAATGTGTTTTATTCCTGTTACATCTCCATTCTGCAAAACTTGTGTTTCCTTTTCAAAGCTATAAAAGGCACAGCTCATTCATTATTTTTTGATTGAAAAAAATTCTTGTCAAAACTATTTTAAAATCAGACTTTTTTTTGTGTGTGTTAGCTACTGAGTTATTTCAGCTAGTGAAATGTGTTCAGTGGAGAGGGCATAGTAAAACATGAAGTTGTTGAGAATAGAGAAAAAAATCTTTGGCAGTGATATGATATTTTAAAAGGGGGAAAATGTAAAATTTAAAAAACAAAACCATGAGAAAGAAATAATATGACTATTTTGCTGAAAAGAGCGTTTATTGACAACTTCCTGTTTGTTTTCATGTTGGTATGGTTAACATTGTGCTGGTTTGAGTGAAGGTGTTAACGTTCTGTTGGCGTGGGCGTAAACTTTCTGCTAGTTTTGGTGTTAACATTCTGCTGGCTTGGTTAGATATTGTGTAACATGTATGAAATAAATATTATGTATCACTGATACTGATGGATATTAAAAGCTGTAGATCTACATTCCGTTTATTTAAGGTTTGTGCTGGTTGCTAGGCAGCTTAGTAAGAATTTTTTTTTAGTACAACTGGGTGATGCAAAAACCAAATAAAGTAATTTAAAATGTAGAATTTTAAAATATAGAAACAAATGCATTCAGCGCTAGACATTACACACAATTCATTTCACAGAAAAATGGGGTGCCAATTTAAAACCAATCAGGAATTAAACCCTCAGACTAATTTTTGAAACAGCAATTAACAGTGATTCTTACAAACAAAGCAAACTAAAAAAAAGAATAAAGTTACTGAGGAGACAGAAAAAGGGATTCTAAAAAAAATCTCTAAAGCATGTTTTAGCACAAGGCTGTGAAACAAGAGCAATGTTTGGATTCTCCCTACAAATGCACTGCATTTTTCACATCATGCACTTATAGATGGCATCAGTTTAAGCTGTGTGTTTGAAAAAAACTACTGCTGCAAATAAGAAAAAATATGATATTGAACTGAAACAACATTTCTGACATTTATCATTAGCATATCATTAGTTGTGTGCACAAAAACAATAATTTAAATTTTAAAAAAATATGTAGATATTAAACAAACTATATTCTTATGCTTAAGAAAACTACTGTAAAAAAGAAACAAAAATGTTAAGAAACTCCACTCTTCTAATTCACTATTAGTATTATATGAGTTGAGTATTAAACAAAAATTTTGCAAATAAAAAAGAATGTGAAGATGTTAGACATACTACATTCTTGTCATTTATTGCTAGCACCACAGTATTTGCAAACAATAAACCGGTAGTGATCTCCCCTAAACTTTCTCGAATATTCTTATATAAAACAACAGGGGATGGTAACTGGGGATATAGTTATGATTTTTAATCCATTTTAAATACTTAAACTTTTAAAAATAGAATAGAATCTCATAAAAAAACATTGCGCACCAAGCAAACGCCGAATAAAAACGCGTATAATAGTGCGCAATATTATTAGTACTTTAAAAATTTACATTAGTTTTTTGAGAAATCGGAAGTAGCATAAATTACTACTTCCAGTCAACGGAAATTACTCAAAATTTAACAGAAGGTAGAGAATTAGATCTTTTACTTACATGTGAAATTTCATTTATCTATCTGAAATAGTACTCAAGTTATAGGCTTTTGAAAAATTCAAAGTAGGAAAAGTACCACTTCCGGTTATCGGAAATCGCTCAAAAGTTGATACGGATCTACGATTTTGATATAATACTTACATATGAAATTTCATCAACCTAGCTGTAACGGTACTCAAGTTATCGTGTTTACACACGGACACACAGACACACAGACAGACATACGGACAAGATTGCAAAATTATGTTTTTCCGTATCAGTGAGGTGTAAAACGTCGAGATTTGTAAAAATCTCGATTTCTCGATTTTTTTTTACTTTCTCGTATATACGAAGTATAGAGAAAGTCTTGTAATCGTGCAAAAAAAAAAAATCGAGATTTTTACAAATCTTGACGTTTCACACCTCACTGATACGGAAAAACATAATTTTGCAATCTTGTCCGTATGTCTGTGTGTCTGTCTGTGTGTCTGTCTGTCCGTGTGTAAACACGATAACTTGAGTACCGTTACAGCTAGGTTGATGAAATTTCATATATAAGTATTTAATTAAAATCGTAGATCCGTATCAACTTTTGAGCGATTTCCGATAACCGGAAGTGGTACTTTTCCTACTTTGAATTTTTCAAAAGCCTATAACTTGAGTACTATTTCAGATAGATAAATGAAATTTCATATGTAAGTAAAAGATCTAATTTTCCACCTTCTATTAAATTTTGAGTCATTTCCGTTGACTGGAAGTAGTACTTTACGCTACTTCCGATTTCTCAAAAAACTAATGTAAATTTTAAAAGTACTAATAATATTGCGCACCATTTTGCGCTTTTTTATTTGGCGTTCACTTGGTGTGCAATTAATTTGTCTACGAGATTTTATTCTATTTTTAAAACTTTAAGTATTTAAAATGGATTAAAAATCATGTCTATAGCCCGAGTTACCATCCCCTGTTATTTTATATAAGAATATTCGAGAAAGTTTAGGGGAGATCACTCCCGGTTTATTTTGCACGATTACAATACTTTCTCTATACTACGTATATACGAGAAAGTAAAAATACTGGAAATAAATCAAAAACAATGTGAAATTGTAGAAATTATACTAGTATTATATAAGTTGTGTGAAAGTTTAAGTTTAAGAAAACAATACTGTGAGTTAAAAAAAAGTGATGGTATTAAACAGATACTACATTCTTGTCCTTCATTGTTAGTATTATATTAGATATGTGAAAATGTAAGAAAACAATACTGTGAATAAAAAAAACCGTGAAGATATTAAACTGATACTACATTCTTGTCATCTGTGTTATACTTATCTCCCTGTAAGAGAACAAAAACATAAGTAATTGATTACCTTGTAAACTTAATTATACCTATAAGGCTGCCATCTTTCAAACACATACATTTCTTGCATTAGGCATACAACAGCCAACCCTCATTAGCCATTCAAGAATTATTCAAGTGCATCCTAAAAGATTTCCTACTTTTTAAAATGTATTTAAAAAATAAAATTGATTTTTTTTTTTAAATGAACACTAATTAGTTTTTAAATTTAAAATTTGAAATTACTGAGAATTTAGAAATTTAAAAATATATATTTTCTATCAATGTAAAATTACTGATTTTGTAAACAAATTAAACTGCATTTTAGTCCAACAAGTATATGCCGTCAAATTAGACGTAATAAGGGCTATAAAAACTAACTGAATTCAACAATGCCTCAACTCGACACTTTCACTCTAAATGTCAGGTACAAACCACAGCTGAACAAATTTAGAGGTAGCCTATCTTATATTTTGCTTAAAATTGTTTTTAACAAGAAATCTAGAAATTAGTAGAACATTTTCAATGGAGGCAAGGCGAAAAGAGATCAAAACACAAGATGCATGTACCTATATGCTCTACCACTTCACCACTCCACTCTCAAAAAAGACACCATAAACATTACTCAGAATTACTGGAATAGTAAATTCACAATAAAATCTCAGTGGTATTCTCTAGTATATTATGTATGTAACCTTTGACCCTAGTGCAAACACATCTCACAGCAACCACCTGCTATAGTCACATGACTTATCTATAGTGCTAAGAGTAGGTACAGCTAGCGTATATGTGCATTCCCACATGCGTCACCACAACCTAAGCACTGTTATAGCACAGCAACATACGACTGTTATACAGCAACATACACTTCCCAATCATACATTCATCTTTGTCATTTTTCCAGCAACCATAATGTAATGGACGAAGAACTGATAAAGGCAAAAAATAAGTTATCATGCATATATATACTTATATACATATACATATATACATACATATATATATATATATATATATATATATATATATATATATATATATATATTCCTACATACATATATATGTATATATTTATATACAAATATGTACACATATATGCATACATATGCATAGATACACACATGTGTGTGCATACATAAAAATATATATATGTAAATATCACATCTGCATGCATATGTGTAATAGTGATGATTAGTTTTATTTCCACAAATTATAATATTCAATTATTTCACCACAGTAACTTTTGAGTTGGATGATAATTGATCTTCATGTAGGTGGGGAAGGAGGGAGGGGGAAATTGATATTGGAAAAATTAAAGTCCTTTTTGTCAATATTGCTAGAGGTGTACAAGATAGATAAAAATGTTCTCAAGACAGGTAACTCCATCAACAAGAGTTATCTTTCTTAATGATTTAATACCAAACATAGAGTTAAAGGAATAAAAATTAAATTGTAATGCAATACTCAACCGCAGCTCATTATTTTTTTTTGTAAACACACAAAAGCACATGTCCTCCTCACTTCATCATCAGTGAACATCCCTTCAGATCCGTCTCTGCAATGAAAGAAAAAAAATAACAATGTAATTAGTTTAATTACCAATCAATGCTAACACCCTCTGGGCAGAGAGTTAAAGCAAGACAATACCCCAACACCAGGTTTGTTTTCTTCAACTAACTGCCAGCAACACATGCTACATTACTGGAAATACACTGCTAATTTTACAACCGTCATAAAAGTTAATTGACTATAATAAACACTTTACTGTAAACATCGTCTTATTTTAATCAGCAATTTTTGCAATCACTTAATGAAAACAAGCCTTAACAGAGATGAAATTTTTTTTATGATTTATTAAACTAGAAGTCCTAAGGCAAATTAAAAGAAAATACAGATAAAAAATGAAATGTAACCTTTAAGATGAGACCAGAAAAGGTGTGCTATCAACTACTAGTAGCTACTTAATATATTCTGCTTATCAGGAGAAAGACCTCTTCTTAATACATACAAACATTTACTGCAGCCTAATTACTTAATTAAATCAATATCATTTTATCTTTAATAAAAATGTTTAGCTATTAAAATGATAATCAAACTATCAACTACCAATTGATATAGTTTTCTTGACAGAGAAAAAAAAACGTCTTTCAGAAATCCTAGTCATTACTAGAACATAAATATAAATCCGTAAGCATTCTTTAAGTCTAGGAAGAAAACATATAGAGAAACATCAACATCTACTATTATATTTTTGCTTATTAAAAAGCTGCTTAATACTACACGCTTTTTAAAAAAAAAACATAATCACTTGATTAAGCATCATTTTGTCTACAATAAAAAATGTGTAGCTATTAGAGGAAGGTTTGAAATTTTTTTTTTTACAGTGCTAAATGAGTGTTAATGAGACAAGGACTGTAGCAAGGGGAGATCAATAGCAGAAAATCTGAATTCCACTCTCCATGTCATTTGCCAGCATGGAGATTAATTCCCTTTCCTGCCTTTACAGATATGTTTGATTTTTTTTCTGCCTTTACAGATATGTTTGATTTTTTTTTCTGCCTTTACAGATACATTTGATTTTTTCTGCCTTTACAGATACATTTGAATTTTTCTGCCTTTACGTTTGAATTTTTCTCTGTTTACAGATACATATGATTTTTCCGCCGTTACAGATATGTTTGATTTTTTTCTGCCTATAAAGATACATTTCATTTTTTTCTGCCTTTACAGATACTTTTTATTTTATACTCAAAAAGAGAAAGAGTACAGAGCACAATGTAAGACATATGCCAGTTACAGGAAAGAATAAATCTAAAAAAAAAAAAAAAGAAACAAATGTTCTGATTGGTCAATATTTACAACAACAGTACTTAAAAAAAAAAGATGGAAGCCACATTACTATTAGTATTTGATATTTAGGCTAAAACAATTTGGATCCCTCAAGTAATAGTTAAAAAATAAATTATTTTACAGCAATGAAATGAGTAGTGGTGTGTCAATTATACTTTAATAACTACTGCATTTAGCACTGGCTTGTTGATAGAATGCTAAATGAATTGAAAACTGTTAACATTTATTGACATTAACACACACACAATTCCATCCACCTTTACAATAAAGCTTAACGAAATGAAAACAGCATTATTGTCCGCATCTATTGAAGCAAGCATAAAAAAAAATTCCATTCGTCTTTACAACAAAGCTAAATGAAACGAAAACAGGATCACTTTACTAGTGGTCGTCATTAATCATTCACAGTATTTACCTGAGATGGACAATACCCTCCGCTGGTGTATTGATTTATTTCACTGACTGATATCTTTCTAGCTTTATGTTTGTGTAAAATACTGTTTGCTGCGCATTTGTGTTTTGCCGTGTAACTATTTTGTTACCTGTTTATGTTTATGTTTGTGTAACCCTTTTTTTTTAGTCACAGTTATGTTTGTGTAATATACTATTTTGTTAATAATTTATGTGTGTAACATACCATTTTGCTACATAACAAAGTCTGTGTTACAAACTATTCTTTATGTAGTAAATGTGTAACATACTGATTTATTACATATTTATGTTTGTCTGTGTAACACTATCTTTAATCATCTCACCAAATTCAGAAAGTCCCAAGCTTTTCAGGTGATTCTATAATTACTTAAGAGCTTAAAAGCCAAAAGGTGAATGCTCCTTTTCAATCTAGCAATACAGGTATCAGAAATAGATAAACTAATGTCTATAAACTTGATATCCCAGACCTTATACAGAAACTAAAATCAACAGTTTTGCCTTAGGTTGATGCACACATACATGTATCTAACCCCTCCCATTGCCCTGATTACCTCCCCTGTTATGGCCAGGAATTTTAAGAATTTCTATTTTAAATATATCCACTACCTGCATCATTACACTTTAAAAAAAAAACCACAAGTATATTAGATTCATAGCTTGCACAAAATATGTAAAAATTCATCAAAGGATAAGTAGCCCATCCTTAATGAAGTATAGCATCTTAAAACTTAATGTTTTGATATTTGAGTTTTTTTATGCTTAATGTAGTGAAACATTTTTTAAGAACCACGTAGGGGTTTTATTGCATGTAAACAAGGTTTATACATTATATATGCTTGATAACCAATAATAACCGTAATTAGGTATGTTTGTGTGTACATACACATACAGCACAGATACAAAATGATGTTTTTGAGTTCATATATGTGTGCTTACAAATTCACAGATAAACATAAATGTGTATGTGAGGATTTTTAAAAAAAATGTGTACCAATATATGTACATATAGAAATAATTGTATATGCTCGCACACTTACAGTAGAGATTTAAATAATTGAATTTTTTCCTTTAAAGCTGTCATTGTTTATTAGATCTCCCCACAATGAGATATGATTAAAAAAAAACATCGTTATTACCCACCCTCAAAGACATGTCTAATCCATTTAATCAATTTAAGTTTATCATGGTTTAAAGAAGACAAGACTCTCACAAGTAAAATTCACTGTCAGTTAAAGAAAGATTTGATGTTTCATTCAAGTGCTCAGATCAATTACATAATGGATAGAGAACACTTCTGCTCAATGTCTATCATTATCTCATATATATATATATATATATATATATATATATATATATATATATATATATATATATATATATATATATATATATATATATATATATATATATATATATATACACGCACACACACAACTAAAAATTGCTTAACTTCAAGTACTCAACTTAAGTTGTGAACATGCATGTACCTATACTCAGACAACTACTAAACTCTCAGTTAGTTTCAAGTACTTAACTAAAGTTGTAGCTAACATCTATGTATGCCTACATCCAAACAACTACTAAAATCTAAACCCACTGCCCATGCTCCATAAACATTGCAGCTGTCATTCATTAATCCTAAAGCAAGTTAAGATTATCCCCCCTTTTTACTACTACTAGTCAACTATAGCTGTAGTTGTCAAGTATATTCAGATTATACCCTTTTAACTTTTACTAATCAACTAAAGCTGTAGTTGACTGTCAAGTATATTCAGATTATACCCTTTTAACTTTTACTAGTCAACTATAGCTGTAGCTGACTTTCATGTATATTTAGTCAGACATCCAAGGGCATGTCTATAAATAGAAACCAGTCTTTTCAAACTATTTCAAGAATGTGGAACAGCTACATCAGCCTAAACAGATTATTAATTTTTGAAAGCTGTTAACACAGATTCAAATCTTTGCATAGTAGCTGATATGTGGGATGGTGTGGTCAGATGGTAGAGCATACATCTGCTAACTCAAAAGTCTTAGTGTGAATGCTGGGTTGTGTTAATAGAGCAATCTTGAGTCCACCCAGTCTTGACAGGTATCTGATTCACATTAGTGAAAGTAAAGGCAGCTAGACACAGTGTTGACCATACTTCCTTTCATACGCTAAAAATCACTGAAACAGGTGAACTCTACTTCACCTGCCACGTGGACAATCAGGTTTAAAAGGGTACTTTACTACCACCACTACTGTGGGAGATATAGATACAACATCGCCCGACTAATCCAGGGTTAGGAACTACAAATGGCGTAGAACAAAATTAGACTTAGCAACACAGTACCTCTAACCATAATAAAAATTTGATTTTTATAAAAACTATATATAACTTAAAAAAGCCTACAGTTATTTTATATTAAAAATGATATAATGACTCTTTATCAAGCATTAAGAGTAATAAACAAAATTTTTAGTGTATTAATTATTTCATAAACATTTTAACATCTAATTTTACAAAACTCTAATAATCTTATAATCATATTTATTGTAGATAATCTAATAGATCTCAAAGATTAAGTAAGTAAGCTAAAACTGTAAAATAGAAACTTATTTTATAAGAATTAACATAAGGTATTACAAACTTATGCCATAAATGCATATTTTAAAATGGATTAAAAAATTAAACACGCAATAGTTTCTTAATTTCTTTTCTTAATTGTTGATTTATTTTCCCAGTCAGTTAATGTAAATCACAGTATATACTTCATATAAATAGTGAAGTATTACATGTGTTCTAATTTTATTTTTACCTCAAGCTAAACACATTCTCATGCACAACTTACAAGCCAATCAATCACATACCACACCAGCACATCAAGGTCCTACTTTTTGTGTTAGATGTGAAGTCACCTTAACTTCGGTGACACTGAGACTACACACATGTTCACTGAATGATGACCAATGTCAACAGCTTCAAGCTAGCTTCACTGCTGAGGCATGTCTAGGTCACTGCATACCAAATTTAGTACTGAAGGGAGGCAAGCTAGTGGAAAGGGGGGCATAACCATGAAAACTCAAGAAAGACAACCAAGGGCAATTTTTTTTTTTTGTATTAAAAACTCTCACATCTCAATGACAACATGCCCTACAATTAGCTGAACCACAACCAGGAATAATTGGACCATGACCACGAATAATTGAACCAGGGGGAGGGTGAAGAACCCCTCAAAGTCATTCAAATGACAACACTATACACACCACACTATGGGGAGATTAAGAGC